CAGTCATTCTTCATCATTGAAGCTGTATTTTTGAGCAAAATAAAACCTCTACAGAAAATTAAAAAATCAATCAATCAATATTACGTTCATTTCCACGCAGTGTAGGACATCATTTACAAAGGATCTGCTTTAGCTACTGTTTTAATATTGTAGTTTACTTTTTTGTTTTTACTTAATCCCCTCCCCCCGGCCCCCATCAATATAAAAACGTAAACTTAAAAATAACACTGCTTGTTGTTTATAGACAGTCATATTCTATTTTATATATATATATATACGAGCAGTGAGGCAGCTATAAATTTTATACAGTTGTTATTCAGTTGACAGCTATATAGTTTTTCATTATAAAGCGCTCAACATTGGCATTGATTTTATTTCCCAGATTCCACTAACACACATTTTAAAATTATTTATATATTCATAGGTATATAGATTTGCTTTGTAAACAATCTAAGAACTAAACTCATCTTTGTCAACTTGTTTTTATATTATTTTATAGTCTTTTATATCGTAACATGGTCTGAAACAGACTACCTGACTGTCGCCTGAACTACCGCAAAATAAGCTTTTTTAAAAGTCTCGCGTGAGGCCCCACGGCAATAACCCAAGCCAGTTTTTATATTATATACATGTATCCATGCTACAGCATTCCGTGGACGAAATATAAAAAAAATCACGCTTATCGCACATAGTAAATTTACCTTTCAAGTTATGTACTTTTATTGTATTTACCTAGCTTTAATTCTATTAGTTACATATGCAGAGAAAGCATTAAACAAAAATGAGAAATTATAAGACTTCAAAACCTTTTAAATATACATTCAGTAACAACACGCGAATTGCTATAAATAGCAACGTTACAGTCTAGTAATGATATGATGATTTGTTGTGCTTTTGTTGTAGCCTAAGTAGGCCTATCACTAAAATATATTGAAAATCCTTCTAAACGATTCTTTATAATGTATACAAAGCATATACATTGATATCGAAACACAAAATTCAAAGTTTTGAACAATTTGAGCTTCGTGACTCTGGTATAGACGTATGGGCCTAATGATTTAATTGTGTTACATTCCACTGGAAATCACCAAAATGAGCTTTTTTAAAAGTCTCGCGTGAGGCTCCAAGGCAATAACCCAAGCTAGTTTTTATATATAACATGTACTCATGCCATACCATTCCGTGGATGAAATATAAACAAATTCACGGTTATCGCACATAGTAAATTTCCCCTTCAAATCCAGTGACAAAATGCAATTCTCAAATTTGACTAAAAATAGCCAATTTCAACAACGTCTGTCAGGCCAGTTAAAGCCTCCTGGGCCATTCTATATTGATAAAACTATTCTTTAATACTTGAATTATAGTCATCAAACCATCAAAACTATCTACGGGCAGTTTTGAATCCGTCGCGAAGTGATGAAACTGACCATGGCAGCGGCTTTGTCTGCGGCTAATTATAGCCTCCTGGAGACAAATTCTTGATTTCTGATATTTGTACGTTTATCGACCAAATATTGAAAATCTAACCCAAACACCATTTATAACTAGGTATTACCTTAATTTGAGCAAAATATGAACGAAATCTATTTTTCGTGTATTGCCGCAGAATTCAAATTTTGCTCGATTTTTACGGACAGTCGCTCTTAAGTAAAAGAACTCTTATAACTGTAGAGAGTCACTTGCCTCATTGCCATCAAGTATCATAGAAATCACAGAATAAACTCGACTCGGTATTTCGTCGAATTTCAATGCAAAGAGCATCTCAATACCACTAGCGACACTTATGGAACTACAATGCCAGGTGCCCGGTTGGAAATGGCTTGGTGCAATTATCAAACCATACGTATACAGTCGGCAAAACAAAATTGATGACAAATCACTGCGACACCGCATGTCACGGTATATCACCAAACTTGAGGTGCACTTAATCTACCACAAGGACGTGACGAAAAACAGGCGGCATTCACATTGTTTAATTAAAAGCAAAGAAAGAGTATCAAACAAACACTGCTTCATGTTTTTTTTCTGCAGATTCTGACATGCGAGATCATGAGGAAAATTCTGGTGACTGTGATTTTGTTAAACGCCTGCAAAGTGTTAACGTTAAAAAGACAATGGCAAAGCGAAATGCAAATGACTTGCCTTTAAGTAATTTTCCATTAAGGCCATTATTCATTAACACATGCGGTGAAAATACCTAGCTGTCAAGCTAGCCACCACACATGGAGGTTATAGCTCAAGGAATAGCTGTGTGGAACGTGTGCTGCATTTCCACCATTAATTAGTAATTATCACAAAACACGATCATTTTAGGTTGGTATTTACCCAGAATACTAGCCTATTCAGAAAGTCATCACTAGTTTTGCTTAAGTGCTATTTGCCACGGATTGCCACTCAGCAAGTGCTCTTAACAGAAGCAGTCACTCCCTGGAAATATTGCCATTTTGAATATATGTACAGGCCGTATAGATATTGTGACATATAAAAAAGGCTGTGTAGATCGACAGGTCTGGGGGTGGCATCTATACTCAAATTGCCATGGGGAGCAGCAATTTGATGTTTGTATGTGGGTGGGGCTTTTCCTTGGCGTTTTGTCTGTGGCAGTTTGACACTTTCAGAAGAAAACATGCTTCACTCCTTCAGTTATTTTTGTTTGTTATTTTATTTATAATACAGGGTGTCCCAAAAAATATCCCCTCGGAAACACAAACGTGGATCCTTGTTGTACAAAAAGACCCTTAAGAAAAACTACAGGAAGGCAATCGGTGCAAATGGCAAGAGAGACCAAGTCAAAGGCATAGTGGGTGTATTAAGATGCGTCCTTTGTAATGGAGGGTTGGTGGACACAGCTTTTGTACAATGCCCAGCAGTGTTTTTTCATAAATTCTGTTTATCCTGCACGCGAAAGAGATAAAAAACTGATATTCAAAGGGACATTTGATTAGTTATTTACAAGTTAAAAAAAATGTATTCATGCATACTAACACTATATGTTAGTTATTTAGGTTTATAGAAAGTATAAAAAGTATCCAAGTGTACTAACACTACATTATAAGTAACCAAAACTATTTACAAAATGAGTGAAGGTCATCACACAGATCAACAAAACAATTACCTCAAAGCGTGTTTCACAACTTTTCAAAGTAAACAAACATTGCATGCAATCCAAAACAAAGTCCACTCCAAATGTGAAAAATGAACGACGTTGACACATTTGAGTCAATTAGCCTTTCTCACAGCCGATTTTTCCACCATTTTGTGGGTACTGCCTCTCCCACGTTTGAGAGTCTCCGCACCGCGAAATACAACATTTTAGTATTGTAGTTGTTTGTATAATGGTAAATTTACAGTTGCAACTTTTAAAAGTCGCTTTTCACGTTGTTTGAATTGTCTAGAATCTTTCACGAGGGCATTCAGTACCCCAAAATTGGCGGATTTTGGCCTTCATGAGAAAGACTAATTAATTTGCACTCTGCAAAATCCAAATGTTTATATAATTAATTTAACAATATTTACTGATCTGAATATTTGTCAAGTTTTTGTTTTTAAATAAATTCCAACAAATTTTCGTCGTCAGAATGAGTCGGCCAAAATGTTCTCCAGAGTGTTGAGCAGCGTTTTTTAGTTATTATGATTTATGGAAGTGCTGCAGCTCTTTTAAAGAGCCATCGCAAAAAATTTCCGTTTTCAACTAATGATTTTAAAGTAATTTTTTTGAAGTAATTGATTATATTTTAAGTTTATAAAGTACAAAAGCGTGCGGTTTGCATGTGGGACATAAAATTTTAAAAAAACCTGTTTAGTTTATACAAAACAACTGTTAAGTATTAAACAGCTGTTGCTTTAAAACATTAAGGTTTTTCTTTATAAACTATAAAGTATGAAAAACAAAGACAGATCTTAAAAAAGATCCATCCCAAAAAATGTTTGACTCCGCAATATTGATTTAGCGAAACATCTGCCATGTACCAGTATTTAATAATTGTTTTAAAACATTTTTTGTGCGATTCGCATGTTGGACATTATGATTAAAGTGGAAGTCAAGTCTGTTCTGCGAATCGGTTCTGCCCATAACAACGTGAGGACCTCTGATGTAAACAATACCCAAATATCGTGTTGTTTCGACATCTAAGTTGAAACTCTAATAAATCTTCACTTAAAAGAATAGTGGACCAGAACGATGTTAGACATTAACTAAAGTACATAATATTTTATAAATATAGCATATTTAAAGGGTATGAGCAACAAAAACTTTTATTGCTTTATCTGAAAGAGCATGAAAAAATAACCCCATTGGCCGTTTAATGCTCTATTCTGTTTCATCATTGGTCATTGGTCGCTACGGAGTCATGTGATTATATGAGAAAGCGCGCGAACCGGAAGATCAGTTGTGCAAGATCCTTGCGAAGGTCAGTTCAAAGAAAACCAGAGTGATATTTAAAACGACTAAAATCCTTCATCCGTGACTATGGCTGCGACTAACTCTGCTGAAAGGGACGCCCTTTCGGAGGAGCGAGAAGCAGCTTTGTTATTAGCCGGTGAAGACGAGCAAGAAGACAGTTCTAAAGACGAAGACAATCTAAACCTCAAGGCTATGGTTAAGAGCATGGGCGAGGATTTGAGATCTGTTCTCAAACGTCTTTCTCGGGTCGAAACTGACAAGGAAAGACCAACGAAAAGACTCCGAGTTGCTGAAGAAACAGAGAGTGATAGTCCACACTCTGACGCAGAAGTGGAACTCTCAGATTCAGAGCAGCTTATCGTGCCGCAAACAGAAGGCGGCCAAAATGGCGAAGCGCCAAACTCAATCCCCTCAGTAGCTGAGGATGACTTATTGAGCGAGATAGCTCAGGATTTTGCTGATGAAGCTACGACAGGACCAAAGGTTAGCCAGAAGCTGGCAGATATTATAAATCAGCGTTGGTCCTCAAAGTTGGAAGAGCCCAAACTGAAGGGCAAGATGGGAAAATATGACCGGCCAGACAATTGCGAGAAGCTCGCTGTGCCGAAAGTAAACCCTGAGATTTGGTCAAAGCTCAACCATACTGCTCGAGGTGCAGACCTTAAATTGGTCAACTTTCAAAAAACACTCGTCAAAGTTGGGGTTGCCCTAACTAAATCTACTGATTCCCTTGTGAATATCAGAATAAACATAAGTTCAGACGCTGAACTCAAACAACAACTTGCCGACCTCGTGACCAACAATACTGACGCCTTGGCAATGCTCGGTCACGTTCATGTCGAGCTCCTGCTGCGTCGCCGTGAGCTGATAAAACCGAACGTAAACAAGGAATATTCATCCTTATGTTCGTCCCAAACACCGATAACGGAATTCCTCTTTGGGGATGACTTGCAGTCCCGGTTAACCAGCATAAAGGCTTCGAATAAAATCAGCCAAGAAGCTACGAGCAGCCAGAGTCAAGCCGGCCAGAATGCCTTTCCTAGGCGCCATTTTGACACCTCAAAATCCCGTCAAAAAGGGAAATCATTTCCTAATAGTAATAACGGCAAGGCTTTTTTATGGCAAGGCAGGGGCAACAATTATCGCCCCTACCAAAACAAGCCTCAATTCCAAGCCAGGAAGAAGAACCAGCATGCCCAGCATTAACTACAACAACGACGTTTCCCGCCATTACACAGGTAAATACTTCGACTTGTAATTCACTTATAACATATTTTCAAAATAAAGTCGCATGCTTTAACGCAGGTCGACTTCGTGAATTTCACAACGAATGGATGTTTATTACCTCAGACGCTGAGATTTCAGACATGGTATTGGGGCCCTTTCAATTATTTGTTCCTAAGGAGAGAACATATAATCACATACAAACACAGGCAATTGAGGTAGAAATTGAAACTCTCCTTAAGAAAGACGTCGTTGTTCTTACGGAACATGAAAATGGGGAATATATTTCCCCTATTTTTACAACAGCAAAAAAGGATGGGTCAGCAAGAATGATCCTAAACCTCAAATCTCTAAACAAATTTATCGAATACAAACATTTTAAAATGGAGTCCTTCTCTACCATTGTAAACATGGTTAAGCCCAACTGCTTTATGGCTTCAGTAGATTTGAAGGATGCATATTATTCAGTGCCAATACATCCAGAACATCAAAAGTATTTAAAATTTAATTGGAAAGGGCAACTGTATAAGTTTACTTGTTTCCCTAATGGCTTGGCCTTTTGTCCTAGAAAGTTTACAAAGCTGTTGAAACCAATCAATTCATACTTAAGACAGCTAGGTCATATTTCTGTCAGTCACATTGATGATTCCTATCTTCAAGGTGACGATTATGATGATTGTGCAAGTAATGTGTTAGACACAACAAAATTGTTTGATTCTGTAGGATTTGTGATCCATCCTGACAAATCATCCCTGATACCTAAACAACAGATGACCATTCTTGGTTTTACAATTAATTCTGTAGAAATGAGGGTTTACCCCAGTAAAGATAAGGTGGCAAAAATAAAAGCCTTATGCACAGAACTTATACAAAATGCTGCCCCAACTATTCGGCAGGTGGCGTCAGTGTTGGGTCTACTAGTATCCAATTTCCCAGCTGCGCAATTCGGACCTTTACATTTTAGAGACCTTGACATGGACAAAACTGAGGCACTAAAACTAAATAAAGGAAATTTTGATAAACATATGAAATTTGTCAAAAGCATCATATGATGACTTGCACTGGTGGGTTAAATCAGCTGACAGCCTGTTTAAACCTATTGGCCTTTCACAGCCTGAAGTAACTCTGTTTACCGATGCATCAAATCAAGGTTGGGGTGGTGTTTTAGGCAAGGTCACCATCGGGGGTCGATGGACTCCCTCTGAAGCAACCCACCACATAAATTTTTTGGAAATGCTAGCTGTATTTTTTGCTCTAAAAGCTTTTCAGACACAGTTGCTGGGTAAACATGTATGTGTTAGAATAGACAACATGACGGCGGTATCAGACATAGGTAAAATGGGTACCAGCCATTCTAGAAATCGCAACAACTTAACTCGAGAAATTTGGACCTGGTGTATTATACATCGGGTGTTCTTAACTACAGCACACATACCAGGCAAAGAAAATG